CCCATGTTGGAGAACCTATTCCTGTATCAAGATATGATGGCTATCACGAGATGCTGGCAACCGCCAGCAAGCGCACATGATGGACGCATGCCCCAAAGGCCGCATTTGATTTGGGCGCTTGAGCATCGTGTATGATATCCTTACCCCTTAAAACTCCAAACCCTGGGGAAGTTAATCTTGCTGAACTTGAATGCCACATTCGACATCTGCAGAGCACGCAACATCGTTTGCGAGCCTGGGTGACCTGGGCTGCAACTTAGACCACGTGATTGCCACGCCCATCGTCACCGCTAAGGGTGAGGCTAATTACCACGTCCGTGAGCTCAACTTGGAGCAAGCACACCTCGATCCAAAGCAACCTGGACGTAACCACAGCTCGCAAGACAGCGCCTTCTGGGTCCAACAAGAAGCCCCAAAACAAATATGTGACTCAATGTACAACTACCTCCCTTGATCACACACCTGCATAGTAAGTCATTCCTCTCGATTAACTGGCCGCCATCAACAGGCTCTGAAGCAGTGAAACCAACTGTTCCAACCATATCTAAACGCCTTTATCTCGCCCCTGCTGGGTATCCCTTTCACCCATCAGTTCTTTTGGGGGGGATAAAGACAGCATGCGATACAAGGTCATGCTATAAGTTGATCCGAATGTACCCCGCCCGTAGGCTGACACAAATGTTTGGGCACATGATAGTTGGGCATCAGAAGTTGATGACTGATAAGAGATTGGTGGCACTTTTCAGGTCTTGATTGATGATTGCTAACGTTCCTGCGGCACAGCCCAACCTTCCGGCACTGAGGAGCCTGCGCGCGTTCTTGCCTGGACTTATGGCCCAGGACAAGTCAAGAGACCCACATCGGTTGCGAAAACTCTGAAGCCCATAGGCGGCGCGGTCGGCGATTCCGTCGCTCTGTGCAAACCGACGCTCTCATATGCACGCGCCGAGAAACGAACACATGCAGAAACACGAGCCTCGCGTGGGAGAAACTAGCATGCGCCGTGCTCCCATTAGACTTTAGAATACGACCCCCGTGTCTCCAGCCATGTCTACCTTCGCGAGCTCCATTGTCCCTGGAACAACACCATGCTTGAATGTGTCCCTAGCTGAGTTCAGGGAAAGCGTCCTCAGTCTCTGGCGGCTTTGGACGGTGCCCGCAAAATTCACCGTCGCCTAATTCTGGGATTTGCCTTAAGACATACCCCGCCCCCCCAGCCGTTGCGGATCTCCGAACTCTTCTGTACTTTGTACATATGGCTATGGGTCAAAACCCCGTACCCCCAGTGAACATCCCACTCCCCACTAAAATAGGCTCTAAAATGGGTGGTGCACCTACCCCAAAATGGGATCCCATTGGTGTTGACCCACGGCCATATGAAGGTTTGTCAAAATACGGGCCCGTCTTTTGTATCCCCTTGAGAAGGCGGCACGTAGAGGCGGCACCAGGCCCCAAAAGGATCCACATGTTTGACAACACCCCATATACCAAGTACGGGATCTGCCTCTCTTTTGACCGCCTGCCCAGAGACCAGGGTGCACCCCCCATTTTAGGCTTCCTATTTTAGCGGTTGGATTGAATCGGATGTTCACTGGGGGCTAACCGATTTGGATTTTGACCCATGGAAAACCAATTGTACGATTTGGGGGTAGGTGCACCACCCATTTTAGAACCTATTTTAGTGGTTGGATTGGGATGTTCACTCCATGGCCAATGGTCTCGGCATCCTTTTTGTACCTCACCAGCTCTCAGACTCCGCTGCCCGGAGGAGGTACTTGGCCTGGCGTCCAGCTTGGAATCTCGGAGGGCTCGGGCAAAAGAGCTCAACTTCCAGTTGCGTAGTTAAGCCGCCTGGAACAAAACAACACACTCGTTTCAAGTAGTGGTGATAGATTCCTTTGAAACCAACCTGCGGCGTAGTGGAGTCACTCTGAAATACATAAAGTAGTTTGGCCCGTGAGGAACAGTCCATCTTTGGTCAAAATCCTGGACCAGTTGGTGGTTTATCCCAGTCTCCTGGAACAAAATAACCTCAGCCGTGGATCCGGCCTCCTTCATGTCAGGGTCGCACTGAAGCGCGGAGGTGGCATCCTGGCAGCAAGATGGGATCTTCAATCGACGTCAAATGGCCGGCCAAAATCCAAATCGGATTTCGCCCCCAGTGGTTACATCCGATTCAATCCAACCACAAAAATCGGAAGCCTAAAATGGGTGGTGAATTCACCTCCCCAAAATGGGATCCCATTGGTTTGAGCCACAGTCACATGGCGACCAAGTGCCAGTCATTGACTTATCGATTGCTGATGCCCGTTGCACGCTCCCGACAAGACCCAAGCGTGTGCTGACGTCGCAGTCCTGCTTGGCCTCTCGCCACTTCTCAAGCTCCAGACATGCTTGGCAGCGGGAAGCGTACAGATGTGCGCCTCAGGCGCGCAAGCAAACGCTGGGGAGAACTTGCCCGCGTGTTTGCGTGAGTCTCAAAGAAAAGGTTCCAGGCAAAAAGAGAGACAAAGACAGAGACAATGAGGATAGTTTTACATTTTCTACATGTGCTTTTAAAGGGCCCTGATAAAAGCATCCATAAAAAGTCACAGAGCGGCGGTGGATGCGAATCCCATTTGGCAAGTCCCAAAGAAAAGGTTTCAAAGACAGAGAGAGAGAGAGAGAGACAGAGACAGAGACAAGGATGGATATAATTTGAAAAGAAGGACAATACTCCAATGAATGGGTGGCGGCCGTTGAAGAACCTGGACGATCATAAGGAAATTTGAGATGCAGGAAGGCACAACATTGCAGTGCCTATCAACAGGAGGTCCAAAACGCAGATGCGCAAGCTCTTCCCAAATGCGATTTGTTGGGGTGTGAGTGTGAATAAAAGGTTGTCTTACAGGCAATCGAGTGTCTCTGGATGGCCTTTTATTCGCAACACTTCCCCACCCCCAACCTGGCGGAATGAGGACAGGGTGAGGTTGTCATATTGTCCTTCGCAGGGGGAAAATGCGTTCATTCCAAAAACATCTCCGCCCCATGGAGTTACGAGCGTCTGATGTCACATGCCAGTGAGCAAATGGCCACTGCTTCAGACCTCCCACAATCGATACTCATCGCTCTCTTAAGAGAAAAATGGATGTCATTGACATGTTACAATCACTATGCTTCAGCCGGGTGGCTTGTTTTTGAGGCTTTAGCGTCACTTGACGTATTGGTGCCCGTCGGCTCTCGGCCCCGGGTTCCACAAGCCTTGGGCTTTTCGTCCACCAAGCATTTGGGAACTTGGTACCCTGGCATTCAGCAACTTCCGAGCCATACGCGCAAACCTTTATATCCAGTGGCACTAGTCCGTAGGGCTGGCACGCAGCGCCGGCAGCCCGGGGAAGGCGCTCAAAGGCAAAAGCTGCACGCCAGACAGCGCCTGGCGTGCAACAAAAACCACTGGGGTCCCCGATATTTCTGGGCTGTCCGTTTTCTGCTAAAAGTGACGGACTTGTGGCATAATGAACTGGAAACTACCACTAAACTCACCAAAAAACAACTCAAAACCTAAGGGGGCAGCTGGGAAGCCCCAAGATTGTGGCTGTGCTTTGTCTTTTTTGAGGCTACCCTTTTTGAACTTGGTGCTTGGAACCAAAGGCCACTGGTTTTGGTTGATTCCCAATTTGAGCCAACCCGGCTTTTGGGTGTTTCTCAAATCGTGGTCCCCTGTCATGCCCTGTCCACCATTTTGAGAAGCCCCTAAATGTCCTCAAACATCACCCCACCAAAAAGCCACTCACCTCACATGGTCCAAAAGGTGATGTGTTTGTTTGTTTTTTTCCTGCCAAAACGGGAAATGTACTAGGGGATCCTGAAAGCCGGATTGGTCAAAACATTGGGGAATGCCTAGTCCTCCAAAATCTGTCTTGCGACAACATGCCACAAAACTTCGGGACAACCCAAACAAACAGGTGAGCAACAAACACAGACCTTTTGTGAGTTCCTATTCAGCCAGGCCGTGTTGGAACCAAAAACTCTTGCAAAACCCTTCCAGGCAAATCCCTCTGCGTAACTAATTTGTGTATGACTTTGGATCGACCTTTTGCCATGGAGCCACCAATCATTTGGGAGGGGTTCCCCAAATAAAACATATTTCTAGTAGTGATGGATTCCCTTTAAAATGAGGGGGAAAAAAAACAAACATATTCTTAAGCAAATGGAAGTCTACATCCGGACATCGAGACAGCGAAAATGCGAAAACGAGGCCGGTGCGGCCCGAGAAGCATGGTCCAGCACCACTTTGGGCGCAAAGCCATCCGTCACCTGAGGCCCGAAAACTCATTCAAACCGCTGAGGTTTGATTTTTGGAACCCAAGTAATACAGGACCTTCATCCAGGGTAAGCTTCCGGCTATGTGTTTGCCAGCGTCTTTGCCCAAATTTGGGTCTGCCAGCGTGGAGGCTTGGAGTGTCAGACTAGCGTTGGGGCTTCAAAACATGCTGTTTGAGTCTCTGTCTTGTAAATCAACATGCATTGGCGCGGCTATGTTACGGGTGGGTCCGCCAGGCTGTGCTGTGCAATTTCGGCTTTCCAGGCGATGACTGAATCTGGGCAGCTTGTTGTATTCATACGCTAGAGTAAGGGCTATCTGGTGTTGGATGTGGGGAATGCCACTAAGCGGCGTGTGGCGGCCGGTGGTATACGCCTCTGGTAACATGTAAACTTGCAAGATGAAATCGTGTTGCTCTTTGAATAAAGGTGTCTAAGTCTATCAGTTCAAGCTACAGAGTACAGGACTTGTCTATTTCGCACGCAAACAAGCCGTGCTGTAAATAACATGATTCCAATGAACCTCCTGGTTTGCGTCGCAACAGCTCCAAGGCTTCAAAGGAACTCACAGAAACAAAACTCTCGGCACATTGGAACCACTCAACATGGAACCTGCACAAAGCACTGCGCACCCAACAAAACAAATGACAAAAGGCATCTCCACAACATACAAGCTTCATCAAAATTAACGTGTCCAAATAGCTGAAATAAATCATCATGTGAGTGTACCTTCAAAATGATTGGCGTGGTTTTGGCAGTCATTTTAAAGCAATCCGAAAGGAGGTACCTGTTTGAGGCACGTCAGGCCCGTTTGGCGTTACCTGGCTGTACGTTTAGACATATATTGGCCACTAGAACCAACTAAAACGAGTGCATTCAGTGCCATCGGTGTTCTGCCAGACTCATACAAATCAAACAGGACGCCTTGCAAACAGGGCGCCTTTCAGTTGCTCATGCCTCCCTGGTAAGGAAGCTTCATTTGGTGTCCCTCCTTCGTTTTTTGGGGGTGGGTCTTAAGCAGGAAGCCAACCATGCCAGTATCTTTCCTATCATATCTCAGCAGTTACTTGGCCCACAGGGCACACAGGAGTCAATTACCGATATCACATTTGAGAAGCTACTTGGTCCGCACGGGTACACAGAACCCAATCTCCAAATTGTGTTTCATGTTTAGTCCCAAACACATAACAAACTTTTGGTTAGACCCAGCGGCTCCGATCACTATTGGACAACTCAACCACACACGCACACACCCCTCGGCCCCTCCAGGGTTTTGGACCAAGACATCGTGGGCTTCCTTTCAAAACCAAATGAAAGGTATCCCCAAATGTTTGGCCGCCATTTACATAAGCCCCGCGGAAAAAAAAAACATGAGAACATGTTTGCAGCAGTGATAGATTCCCGTTGAAACCAACAAAGGGCAAATCAACAAACAAAAACATTCACTTCAGAAAATGGAAGCTTTAAGGGCCAAAACCTACAGTTTCCACACAATTCCCCGTAAAAAGTCGATTTCCGACTTCCAAAAAAGGGATCCACATCCACAAACCGCCGGGATGTTAGTCGGTTTTAGACCACACAACTGGGATCAACATCCATCAAAGGACGGGAAAAAGTCGGCTTTAGACACACCAATGGGCTCGAACTAAGCCCCCTGGAAAAAATATGAGAAAATACTTCCAGCAATAAATTCCCTTTAAAAAGCGGGGGAAGAAAACAACAAACAAAAACAACACATATTCCTAAGGATGGGTCACCGGTTGGTCGACTCTCGCCGCGCGTCACGCGTCCGGCGTCCGAGTTCCGAGGATCCGCGCCGCGGCGCGGCAGCTGGTGGCCAGCTCCGCTGCGGCGCCCAGCGTCGCCAAAGGGCCCAAAGGCGCCACCTCGCGTTGTTTTTTTCCCCGAGGATTTTTTTTTTTTGGGAGTTCGGTTCGGTTTTTGTGGAGTCAGATTGGGGGGTGGGGGGGGGAAGATGGGGTTCTGATCGATTTGTGGGTGTCATGTGGGGGGGATTTCTTCTCGATTCCCCTCAAGTCTGTGGGGCAAAGCTCAAATCTGTGACTTGCGGAGGTGTGCAGAATCTGCGATTGATTTGTGCTAACCGAAAGAGTGTGCAAAAATATACGTCTGACTTGTATTTGCTTCAAAACTGGCAAACCTCCAAAGTGGTCAGTTTCCTTTTGGTGTCCCGTTTAAAACTGGCCAACAGAGGGTTCCCCCAAAAACGGCACCACCCGTCCACTGATCCGCCTCGGCTTCGAACTTCTCCAGCAAGGAGCCCTCCGCCTCCTCACGCAACCTCCCGGTCCAACTTTAACTGGGCTGCGCAAACCGATCCCCCCACAAAAAGTGACTGACTCTTAGCGGGTGAAATTCGGAAGCTACCACTAAACACTAAAAAGCCAAAAGGCTAAGGGGATGGCTGGGAGAGACCAGGATTGATTTCGTGGGTTAAATTCGGAAACTACCACTAAAGACTAAAGCCAAAAAGCTTCTTGGGGATGGCTGGGAGCCACCAAGTAACCGACACCTTTTGCCACAAGCGCCCCGCTGCGATCAACACTGGACAGCCCTTTGGGGTTTTGGACCTAGCGAAAAACCCACGTCTTCTGAGTTGAAAAGGTCCGGCAAATCGAGCGGATGCTTCACGTGAGGCAAGTAGCCGCAAACCTCGGCAACACAGCGCAAGGTAGTGCTCCTCAACATCTCAAGGTTCGAACGTGAGTCTCTTCACGCCATGGAGCACGTGTGACGTGTGACGGCTTTTCAGAATCTTCGACTTCAGGCAGACGATGGCATTCGCCAGGGTCAATCAGCGTGGGTCCATCAGAACTATATGAAGCTCCGGCACCAAACGGTGTGTTCAGTTTTTCAGCCCCTTGTGCTTGTTCAGCACAAGCTATGAGACATGCTTGCGGAGTACTTTGCCCAAGCATACATACAAGTTGTAGTTGTGTGTTAGATTCAACCAATGGAAGCTGCAAACAAAACACTCACTCAACCCTGGCAAACACATGTTTGCACAGCACAATAAGAAGTCAAAAAAAATGCGACCCTACGTGTTGCTTGGAAAGTGCTGGGATCACTTGCTGTGAATGCCATCTCAACATGATTTGTGATTCACAGAAAGGCAGCCTGCCTCGAACAACACGTTCATTGCGCATCGATTCAATTGGACCCCAAAGCCAACCGTCGGCGTTCACGTCCTCAGCCACTAATAAAACTTAGCAACAATGTAGTAATAATAACTTAATTACTGACATTTTGCACAGTCATAAAGCTTATGAAGCTCATCCTGATATATATTGTCCCGTGACTTTCGGCTATTCAAACTGTCAAGTCATGCCGCCGTATGCACCAAGGCATACGCGGCAGCCTTGCGTATCTCTTGCAGTCTTCCACCAGCAGGGTGTACTCCTGCCGCGCCAAATGGCACCTGGCCAGGCTCAGGCCCACCGTCAACCCGTGAACCCTGCCCAAATGGCGGAAATAAGCGTGCATATGACGGGTTGCAGCTTGAGATGTGCACAATGATAATATGATAATATGTAATATGTATAATAATACCTGTATAATGCCATCCCACCAACTAACATGGAAGTGCAAAAAGGCCCTTTCCAAGAGGAAAGTAGTCTTTCTACAGGGGTCTGTCCACTTCCATGTTAGCTGGTGGGAGGGAAAATGGATGATGTTCGAAGTATTTGTTCCCAAACCAGGCCATGCTCAATTTGATGGGGCCCGCGTGTGGAACATGTGTGGCAAGCTGCTATCTTTACCATTCGCACAAGTGGCTGTGGGTCAGAAATAGGTACCCCAAATGGAACCCTGGTAAATGGAAGCATGGACTAAAACCTGCGGTCCCCTGGTGACGTAGGAGCAAAAGGTCCAAAGGCCCAGCCGGTCCACGAGCCAAAGCCCAGAAGGACACCTGGGCTGCTTCCGCTTTCGCTCCCAGTCGGCCAGACCCATCGTCCCAAGCAACCTGGCGGTCAACGTGTCTCCGGCAACGAGCTGCAGCCCCAAGCCATCGACTCAATCTCAGCCGAGAGTCGGGGATGGTCACGTTTGCCAATGAGCTGCGACCACAAAAGGAATTTGCTCCATCTGAGAAAGTTGGAGATCGTATGAGCTGCAGCCCCGGAAGGCACCAGGCCCAATCTCGATGGAGTCTGGGATTGTCACGCTTACAAGTGAGCTGCAGCCTCGGAAGGCATGTTGCCCGATCCCGGTGACGGAGTGAGGAATCGTCACGCTTGCCAAAAGTCAAAGAAAACCCCGGCTCCAACCTGTCCATCTGCTGAAAAGTTCCCAACACGCAATTCTTCAAGATCGCAGCCGGATGCTGAGGAGCTCGAGTACTTTACCGGCTCGATGCTGGGGAAAGCCAGAAATTTCCGCACCGGGAATGGCTTCTGACATCATCTCCTCGTTGAGTAGGGGCCAGTCCGCCGCCGAGCTCATGATGCGTCTTGCTGTATCTTCGCAGAGCAGCCGGCGCAGCTAACAGCACAGCTTCTGCTTAAACTCACTCTCAACAGTGCAAACGGGTCAGCTTTCCCAGACAGCTGCCGCATCGTAATATGGTTGGCAATATCTGCACGGATCGATATCCGTTAGGAAGACGCAGTAAGCTTCGTGCGCTCACCAGGCTTCTGCTTGAGCGGTTTCTCGCCGGCTTTCTGGCGAATGGTTGTCTGTCTCACAGTAATTATTCTCTGCGTCGGGGACGCCTACGTCCAAATAAGCGGGTTTGTCTCAAAACGAGGGGACGCTTAACACAAAGACACACCCAAGTAGGACAAGTATTCATTGCTATCGTACCATCTGCCAAAAGACAGGTCGGCCGTCAAACAGTGGGGGATAGGAGTGTTGTGACGTGAATCCTCAACATCTCTAATTGCACCGCAAGCAACCAGGACACACTTTGCCAATATGCAAACCACACAAGGGATACGTTTTTTATCCGACACATGGTGGTTGCTCCCTTTCAACCAAGCACAACAACCCTAGGGAGCCATCAACGTGATAAGTCTGTGCTTAGAACTGGACAGGAGGGGACTTGGAAGACAAGTGGACCTGGATATGTCCTGCGAGATTTCTTCGCAGCTGAATTCTGGGGATTGATTCCATCACGAGGCTCACACTTCGGGACAAGCATCGTCAAAAGAGATTGACATGGGCAAATTTACTGTTGCTCCCGTCCATAAGTGCCTTTTATTCATTGCTGCCTTCTAACTAGTTGGGTATGGGTCATAATGAAACCACCAGGATATGGACCGCAGGTTCAGTCCTTCCCATGTACCAGGGCAACCCATTTTGGGGTTACCTTTTGACCCACAGCCAGTTGTCACAAATCACCAACCACGTTTTATAGAACGGCCTGCTTTCGCTTGTTCGTCGAGTCGTGATTAGCCTTTTCCCTTCACCAACAAATTCGGTTCACTCCCACTTTGAACTTGCTTTACATTGTTTGACAAGAGCATTTTGTCTAATTCAACTTCGCCCACGCCCTCCCGTGGTGTGCTGGTTTGCTACTTCCTTTCACAGCAGCACTCTTGCGGCGAAGAATTCTGCGACCGCAGGACAAAGAAGCTGGGGTCTGAGGAGTCCTTGCCTGGGTCTCAGGATGCGGTACCAGTTTTGGTTTCATGGGTGGTACCCAGAGAGAAACGGTGCTTCCAGGCTTCCAGGTGCCAAAGGCAGCGACATTTTACAATTTGGGAGGAGTTCAAAGGCCTAGTTCTGCAGCCTTGCATGGTCTTGATGCGCCTCCCCAAGCAACAAGCCGAGCCCCACGTGTCACAAGAAACAAACGCAACGAACATTCAACGCGCCAAGACGACGCCTTTGCCCTCAGAAGCGGCAACCTGATACTGACCGCCATTCGGGTATGAGTTACGGACTTGATTCACATTGGATTGACATCTGCCAGCCACTTTTGGTGCAGCCCATTGAAACTCATAGCCATTTCGGACCTTCGACTCCGGCTTTCCGAGCCTCGCAAGCTGCGCGTAAGCGAGACAACGAAGCTGAGCCACCTCAGCTAAACGAAAAAGGGGCGACCTGGGGTCCGGGGGGCTGCGAGTTGCGGAAATCTAGCGGGAAGTCAGGCTGGTCATCAAATCCAGAACTACATGATGGCAAGCCCTCGGTTGCACTCCATGGGGTTCCTTGCCCTGAAACCCATGTACGCTGGGGTACGTCTGACCCAAGCAAAACACGCCCTTGCACCCCTTCCAGGCGAAATAACCTGACCCACCTGTTCATGTGTAAGGTCTTCATGAGTAAGGCCCTTTTTCCAGTCGAGGTCGCTTCACACATCACTTGAGCTGTCTTCTAACAGACTAGAGTACCAGAATACGTCTTGGCGACTCCTTGTTGAACCCATCTCTGTCGGTCCCTGTGCTTTGGATTCAAGATGCCTTTGTGTATTCTAGATTTCCAGCTGAGTGTTGCGGCGTCTTCAGTCGACACGACGTACAACCGGGGGCTCAATGTTCCCTCAACCTTTTGAAGAATGGCTGCGCTTTGGAACGAAACTCAGAATCATCGCCATGTCGGGTACTCATCTGAGTGGCACAAGACTGATTCGGCATAGCAAGGGGAGCCATGGGGCCATGGTGCTCACTAGTCACGTTGCCATAGCTCCCCTTGCAACGGCTCATCAGTATGAACACTTGCATCCAACTCGCGGGCCTGCCGCCTAGGCGCTCAAAGGCTACGAGAGATCTGCCCCCTCTCGGCACCCAAGTTTGGACTGCGACAACGCTGTGCAACACCACTCAACATGCTTCAATGCAAGGCACTGTTCGTGGTGCCGCCTTCACTCAACAAACTCATACAACCCATTTGCAAACCACACGCACGCTTCCCGTTGCTTTCCCCACTCATCCCCCTGCCTGGTCACTTGATAGCTGCTCCAGGTTGCCTCTGTCGAGCGTTTGCGACAAATAACCTGGCGCCTTGTGCCTGGCAATGCCAAGACTAGTGGCCAGCGTCACCAAACGCAGGTGGAGTGGAGGACCCGCCAAGTGAGTGGTACATGTGGCTCCAGCTTGCGAAACACATTTTCTGCCAACTGCCAACGAATCTGGAAATTCGTGTAGGATGTCTATATATAGGATGCATATATCTATTACGTGTTTGAATCTCATGGGTGTGGGTCAAAAATCGGCACCCAGGAAGGAACCCTGGTATATAAATGAAAAAAACAACTGCGGTCCCCTAGTGGTTTAATTTTGACCCATACCCATATGTCAGGTGCGTAAAATTGCAGATCCTTTTAGTTTCACTTCGAGTTCCTTGCAGGTGTCGATGTTGAACAAACTCGGGGCTTAGCATGCGCCTGGGTTAAGCAGGTGAAACGCCGGCCCAAGAAGCCCTTCGCAACCGGGTCTTCCGTGGGCACTTTTTCCTGGATTTTTCTGTTTCGAGCAAAAATAACGCTCATTTCATCAAAAAACGCTCAATTAGAAAGAAAGCACTCAATTGGAAAATGGTTCTGCTGTGTGTCCGCACAGTTTGTTTACGATCACTTTGATCATAAACAAAACATGCGTGTAATGTAGTCCCTTATAATGAAAGGGCCAGTCGCTTCTCAGCGGCGAACCACTCCCCCCTCAACTCCCTGGGCTTTTCGCCAATTGCCGCCGCGACACGGGCGCACCGCTCAGCCCGCTCCAGGGCCAAGTTGCTGTCGCTCCGCAGCAGCGCCTCGGAAGCGGCGCGGCATCGAGTCGGACGAAGCCTCAGCTTTTGCCCACTGATGCGGCTGATTCTGGTCCAACAGTAAACTGCAAAACACATAACGGCCGACGGCAACCGAACAAAACATATGTTTGTTTCTGATCCGCAGTGAAGCTGGAAACGTAGAATACATGCAATAAACAAAGACTGGGTTTCTGGTCATTGAATTGAACCTCAACTTATAATATAAACAAAGTAAACAAAGGCAACTAAGCCAACTTGACATTCCGTTTCGGGCGATACTCGTTTGTACGGACGCTCAATGAAAAACCTCAAGCATCCTTTCTTCTTGGTGAGGTTTGGTCATTGAGTCAATGGTCGCTTCCACGAACTATTGACACATGTGGGCTTGTTTCAAAATAGGGAAAACCCCTCCAAACAAGGTGGTGTCCTTTGGTTTCGTTTAAACAACACGTCCAAAACGGATACCCTCAAACAAAAACTACTTTCAGTTGAGAGTTGCAACATATTTTTCATGCGCTATCTAACAGCGGCCCTACACGATCATTGTTTCAAGTACATGTCTGATGCTGATAAGCCTGCGTGACTGATCATTGGCTAGTCACAGACTGTTGTGTCGTATAACTTGACTAACTTGCAATGTCCTAGCTGGCGATTTGGTTGCTAGTATTGCTGTTGAAAAGGGTATGCTGAAAGCACCTGCAGGTGCATCACATACACAAATCACCATTCCTGCTCTGCTGCTCAAACTGGCAAAAATGGGCCACTGGTTGAGAAAAAAGGCGGTCCACTTCGTGGCAAAAAAGCCGGTTTCCAAAAGCACCCCCCCCCCAGCAGTGTATGCTACTACCTCCCTCTTCCACTGGATTGGTCAGGCCGAATCTACTCGGGTTCCATCTTGGGCTCGCCAAGGACAATTCCCCGAATTTCTGCCCATGGATGGATGATCTACTGAAACCGAGGAACGCGGCCATAAGTTTCGGTGGGAAGTGACCAGTTTCCATGCGTGCCGAGCTTTCCGGCCTCACAAGCCGGGTCACCTCTTGTGAGGACCGCATTTACCATGCGAAGCGACTTGGGATGGTAACTACCAAGTTCTACAGGTATATGGGCGAGTGTGCCTGATGTCATCTTTTCTTTGCTCGTGTGTTCAGCCAGTGGGCAATGTGGTCAATTGCGCAATGTTGATCGATGTTTAATGTGTGGAAGGGCCATACGCCACCAAAGGCAGTCTGGCGCCATATAGCAAGATGTCAATACCCTTGCCAGGCAGGCCAGGTATCAGCCTACTTTTCTTGGCTACATGTTTTTTGGCGCCTCGCAGTTCCTGGGCATCTCTGTGATGCTCGCGTCCAGGCTTTGTTGCACCGTACGAGCTGAGAGGGCGGTGCAAGGAGCAAATATCACGGAAGCCATGAAGGTCACCGGTTGGATAGCAGGAGTGTCCCATAGGTTGCACTTGAGCAAACGCCAGCCCATTGACTTTTGGTTCTACCAGAATGGTGAAGCTTTATGGAGGCCTTTCTGTACTTGTCAAACCAGTCAGAAGCCCCCGCTAAAATGGATAATGAGGGTTTTGGGCGCGCGCTTGACTTCGCCCTTGAAAGTAAGTTTAGCGCCAAATATGCGGCGTCTGGCCTCTGTCTCCAGCAAAAGCTCCCAATAGAGGTCCTGCACAATGCCAGCCCGCAGCCTCCCCAAATGCGAAGCTCTGAGCCAGAAATCTAAAGCTAGGCTGATGGTGGCATTTCTAAAAAATGTATCTAAGTAGGGAGCCTCTGCCCAACAAAGCGAACAATATGCAATTCGGGCTGTCAATTGCAATTGCACGTATGGGTCGCACAGGCCCATCTTGCCGTACGGCGTTTTCCAAAAGCACACCGCTGCAATCCTTTTCAGAACCAAACCAAACATCAATAATCGTTCCCCTAAAGTGGATTCCAAGTGACTTTCTCAGCTAGTATTTGCAATGTGCAGTTACCCGCGTGTTGCCCTCTGAAACAAACCTCGGGCACAATGATATCGATGCACAAGCCATGGACAAGCAATCGGCAAGACTCAAATAGAAACACCAGATCTGTGAGGAAAAAAACAACAGGAAGAAGCGTGAAGTAGTCGGACAAAGAACACGATTTCCCGGCCAGGACGGTCCAAACGCCATCTTATTGCTAGCGAAGCCGTCCTGCAAGGGGAGGGGGGATGTTGGCGCCAAGACCAAGGCCCCAAAGGGGCTCCAGTCTGTCAGGGACCCCCAAACGACCTTTGACTCCTCAGCTGCCTACAACTTGCTCCTCGGTAGTGGTCTTTGTCCAGCCACCGAACCTGAGGCGAGCTCTGAAAGAAGGGACCGCTGAAACAGCGATTCCTTTTCTTAAACAAAACACGAAGCAGCCCCTTCGCTGATCCAACGACCCCACTCAAGCTTCAACCGCCGCTCACAGGCTCCAATACACTCCTAGAGGCGCTCCAAGAAGGGATTCCTCTACAAACTCCACAGCTTTTGCCAGGTCCATGTCCATCAACATGAAGGCTCCGCGGGAAGCCGAATCAAGAACTCTCCTCCTCGCTCGCTTTTGGCCGCATCCATGGCTCAAAACATAAACCGTCTTCCAGAGACCTCCCGGATCGCCCAGTGGATAGCGCTTCCCCCAAACAAACTCCGAACACCTACCGTGTTTGTTTACCATCATAAAAGTCAGGTTCAAGGGAAACAACTCAACAAAAAGGTACCCTCAGAAGAGACAGACACACATTGTACTTTGAGACTTTGGTGGATCTTTCAGAATGCCGCGATTGAGACAACCTTTCACAAACGCCACGTGCCAACATGCTGTCGCAGTAGTGAGCGGTACGCAAAACGCGCTTGCGGGACAATGCAGACCTGGCGAAGAGTTCTTGGGTAGTCACCCCGTCCCCATGTTCACTATATTCCCCGCCTGCGTTCCCCAATCCCTACCTTGTCAGTCTCAAACAGCTGACACAAGCTAGCCATGTCTACTTCTGACAGGCTCCCTGCAAGAATTTGTAAGGTATCAGCAATAGCAAGTTCGTGATCTGACAAGAAGGGCATGAAGCAAGGCTTGCTGTAAGCATGCGTTTCAGGCTTTCTCAAACACAGACCCTTTGCTTTCAGGCTTGTTGGCTGGTTGAATGTCGCACATCCAAACACCATCGACCAGGCAAGGCTTTGCACATCCTCAGGCTGAAGCAGACTGCTATCAGAGCATTACATGTCACAGATCGCCCTTGGGCTGGAAAGGTGTCCTGCTGGTGTCACAAATGCTTTCCCAACCCTTGCTAGCTGAGCAAGAAGCCATTGAAAGCCCCAATCAACATGAACAGAACAAAGAACGCACACCACAAACAAAAAACGATCAACACAAACACGTGCTTCCGGCTTCCGCCGCTGCCAACGCCTCGCTTCGCTATCTTCCTGGCAGCACCAGCCATCCTGCGGGGGCATTCCATGGCACCTTTTTATGATTCTTGGTTGACATCGCTGCCAGCAAGCTGAAACGCCTTGTTGATTGATCCAAACATGGCCAGGTTCTTGGATGTCACGGCCGCGAGAAAAATACCTAATATTATTTGCAGTTTTTTTTTCTTCAGATCAACACGTCTTCACATGCCTGTTTGGCGAGGGCGGGTCAACATGCCGATCAGCATCTTTATGCCAGCATGTTTACCCTGGCAGAAGCAGAAGAAGGAGGCCTTTACTGATCCAAGAACCTTGAATTGCATTGTGAAGTTTTGGATCAAAATTCAAGAGTAACCCAGACAGGCAAAGCAAAAAGGTGAACATGTCACCATGTAACCGAGGGTGAAATGAACACCTTGCAGCTGAACCATTGAAACGATGCTGATTCATGTAACTTGCCAAACGCATCGGAAGCGTCATGTGCAAGGCCGCTGACAAACTTACAACGCTCATGGGACTCATGAGCACATGTTGCTTGGTGTCCCCTGGGCCAAACGTGCATCACTTCCAAATGGAAACGTTGCCCACACTCGTGTTATACGAATATGAGGGAGCCTCAGCTCTGTAGAACCGCCATATGGGTCACAGTGACCCTCAACGTCTGTCCCATCTTGGCAGCCAGCATCCCAACCAATCCACACAAGAGCAGCATGTCGCTCTGCGTGGGCCAAAGTAACCTTGAAATGATCAACAGTTGAAGCGTGACTTTGCCACATGAACATCTCCCAGCTTTGTCTGTACTTCCTGGCTCCTGTTCGTTAGTAAGAAAGGAAGTTGCCGCAACCGGTGCAGTACCCGCTTCCCCACTCGCATCCCACCTGCCCCAGGAGGCTGGCGCCTTCTTCCACGGGCCGCTCCTGAGCGTCGAAGCCTGTCTAGGAGAATTTCCAATGCCCCAAATCACCTAGGTCCTCCAGTAGAGAGGTTAGAATAAGGGTATCCGATTTGTTTTCTGTAGTCTATTTTGGTAGGGGAACCCTCCCCCAAAAAAGGGGTGAGAAAGGGCACTACTGGGGGACCTAGTCACTTTGCCCAGGGGAACATGAACAACCGCCAGCAAAAATCCACCAGGTAAAGGGTACATGTTACATATCCGATCGTGGGGAATGGACAACTACGCTAATCAGAAGGGACGAGTCTTTGCAGGTCGCAAACACGTGAAGGGTGTATAACCATCCCTCCACACAAGTTCAGCCCGAAAAACGGCTTTCCCTACGGGCCTCTTGCAACAATGAACTCCCTTTTCTCAAATTGCCCGCCTCTCAGCAGGAGAGCAAGCCTCTGAGCGTTCTGCAGTTTGGTTTCGGTTGCGGTGTAGCATTGTATGTCAAGAACTGTCCGCCAGCAGCCTGCACGCTGCAATGAAGGGTAGCATGTCCCTTCAACCGACACGGATCAACGCCTCCCCCACAGAACACATGATATGTCCGCACCATACAAGGAAACCATGTAGATTTGAAAAGGGGCTGCGAGTAGCAAGAAAACAACCCTAGCAACATTCGTCAACCAGAATCAGCCGGGCAAGGTTCAAAAGTATTTGTTTCCCCAAGAGGACACCGGAAACTGAGTCAGTCGCCTTCTTTTGAGATGAAATTTGCGTGTTTTCCAAGTCCCTGCCAAATATTGTCCATGGAGGACATTTGATCCGCCTTCGGCGTCTTCTCTGGGGCCGCGGGCTGGCCCGCAAATGACGCAGGCGCTGCTGTCTCTGCCCTCGCAGAGCCAACATGGACCTGCCGCTCGAGTGCCTCGTCCTCGTCACCAACTTTTCCAGTCTTAAAACGGACACAGAGCACGCCATACTGCAAATGGACGAAATTCAGCACCACTTGGAAGCCATGGGAAACCAGTGTTGGTTGGTATTTACAGGGGAACCATCATTCCAGAGTTCCTTAGGTGGTGCAGGAAATCGTCCAACCACAGTATGTGTGGCATGTGTTTTTTTCTTCTCCGGACCGTGGGCACCTAACTTCATTATCTCTCTCACACGCATCACAGTAGAATACTCGAGGAAAAGAGTGACACCTCAGTCATGATAATCGGATAACAAGTTCTTAGTCTCTCCAACGGACATTCTGAAGACTGGTTTCTTCTGAGAACAACTACATGACAACAATCGCTCGTGTTCCTTGTCCTGGCATGCCAATCCCGGAGAAGGCTTGCTCTGCCAGAAAGGCGTGTCCGTGTTGAGAGTGTAGTCAATGACATCCAAGCATGCTGGCCCCTCCATTCCCAACCCAAATGTTCACTACACTGACGCTGCACATCAAGTCCCTAGTTTCTTGAGAAGCAACACAGCCGCAACTGCTGGCAACCTCTTCTATACTGCACCACGTAACACACTCACACTCACACACACACACACCACACTCACAGACATGCAGATAAAAGAGCAAACACAAAAGATACATACACACACACACAAACGGACACCGAAACTCACAGCACCAGAGATAAGTTATGTACATGTTTTTCGGTAGCGGTGAAATGTCTAGACCTTGCAACCGGCAGCTCAGGTATTGAGCTGCGTAGTCAACCGCTTGACATAAGCCATGGACAAAATCTGGCGCGTGAGGGTCAGGATCGGCTTTCCTAGGCCTTCCAGTAGAGAGGTTCGAGTCAGGGTACCCGAGTTTTTTTCGGTAGTCTATTTTAGTAGGGGAACCCTCCCAACCAAAAAAAAGGTGAGAAAGGGGCACTACTGGGGGACCCGATTTTTTTCTGTAGTCTATTTTAGTAGGGGAACCCTCCCCAAAAAAAAAGGGGTGAGAAAGGGGCACTACTCAAGGACCAAGTTTCTCCCTCGGTCTAAGAACCAAGAGTTCATGGGCAGCTGACCGGATGCAAACTGTACCGACAGGGATTCCCCAACTGAGCCTTCAAAACCCCTTGATTTTTGGTACCAAGATGGTTCTCAAGGATTCTTTTGAGGGTATCCTTGCTTGAGCGGTTTTAAAGGAACACCCAAAGGAACACCTCTTTTTGTTTGCTCTGTTCTTCTTCTTCTTCTTTTATGTTTTTTTTGGGGGGGGCGGTCCCCTACAAGAAGACATACCCGTATAGGCCGTACTATAACCACCCTAAGATCATGCAATAGAATCAGCTACTCAACTGGTCCTGTTGAAGCTTGGGGAGCTCATCCGTCTTCCCATCGCCTTCGCCCATGGCACACGTTGCGTGTGAACACGATCCACTCCGCGCGTTCAGTGGAAACCAGCCTGAAACCAATCATCTGGCTCTAAGTTCATTTGGAAGCTGCGGGTGCCTTTTCGGGCAGTTTCTTCTGCCAACATGTTGGACAGTGGTACCATGAATCGGGTCAATATGTGCAAGTCGCGGAACACCTGAAATGTCCACATGAACGTCCAATGTCATGCTCTCATGAATCCTGTCAGGCAATTGGACAGAGCCTCATGAGCCTTGTGGAACTGTACAATCAATTGTGTCCTGAGTCTGTCAATTGCAAGTCTATTCCCTCTGCTGGGCAAAGAGGCTGTGAAAGCATTCGAACGCCTAAAGATCAGAATTTTGCTCTGGACGAGACCTCAACGACCCCTCTGCAAACAGTTGTTCACGTTTTTGTGCATCCAATGGAAAATCCGCTGGTTTTCAACCAAACATGTAAAAAAAAAAAAAAAAAAAACGTCCAAAGATCCGTTGCCAAAATGCCAGAGATCTCAAGGCCAGGTCTGCCAATGAACTGGCGGTTCCACTTCTCAAGCCCAAAGATTCGTTCGCAGTTAGCAACGAACTTGACAACGCAGAAATCAGAGACCTGGATATCACACACAATGACACACACACAAACTCAAACTGTTTGCTCCCACTCCAATGCATACAAAGCGAATGTTGGTCTGTGCCAGTGTCAAAGTAAGATTGGTCCGAAGCTCCTCGAAAGAATGCAGTGCTGCTTTCAAAGGAGCGATCACCCGCTTTGCTGCCTCCAAACAGTTGCCGTTTGTTTTGATGGAGGTAGTACTCCTTAGGGAATTGCCAGTGACAGAATCTTCACAATGCATGTTGAGGCGGGATTCAGCACCGGTCCCTGCAATGCCAGCCGAAGATTTCGTTTAACGGCCGGGGCTTTATGTTGAACATGACTCTGGAACCAGTCCACGCAAGGCTTGGGACAGCAAAATGAGTTTATGATTTGCCGTGGCATTGGTCCTGAGCATGAGCAAGAAAGGCAAGCAGATGCTACTTAGAGCAGTGCTGAGATATTTTTCACTCTTTGATGCCAGCATGATTAGCTTTGCACCTGCCCTTCTATGTACAGAACAGTAAGTGGCCTGGCGACAGGCGGCGTTTGCCCATCTTGCACCACAGCTTGCCCACGTGACCAGCACGAGCAACAGGTCGACTCGTGCGATCTCCATACTTTAGTCAGCTTGAACATCTGGCTATGGGTCAAAACCCCGGTACCCCGGTGAACACCCAGAAAGCCTTCTGGAAAGACAACAGTGCAGTGGTAACCATCCCCAAAAAGGCACCTTAGGTTTTGACCCACAACCATCCGTATCATCTGGACTCACCCGCGAAAATGACGTCATCGCTCTTGGCTGCAAGACCCCAAGAGCCCACAAAGGTGTCCTTAGGATTGGCAGAAGGCTGTTCTCGACAACTCTGCGCAGTCATGCACAAATTTGGCTGTGGGTCAAAACCCTGTACCCCTGGTGAATATCAAAATCGGTGCTACATGGGTGTTCAACCGCCCCAAAATGGAGGCATAGGTTATGATCCATGGCCATTTGGTTGCCAACCGACTTCTGACTCCTGACTTCTGGGCCCTGCTTAATGTTGACCCCGGATTAATAAACCCCTGCCTATTAATATGGGGGGTCCAACTGGTTTTAGTGGGGGAGTCAGACCACTCTTGGAGGGGAACACCCCCCCATATTAATACACAGGGGTCAACACTAAACATGATTCTGGATTTCTCACTTTTGGAGGGGAACACCCCCACTGACAACTGACAACCGACTTCTTTACGCGCTTAAACACGGTTCAACCGGCTGCTTTGCTCTCGGGTCCTGAATCCACTTTGCAAGCACTTGATCCGCTTGGAACTCCTCCAGGACGCACAGCCCGTTGTAGAGCACCAAAAGCGTGGTCCGCAGCGTGCTTTTGCCGCCCACGTCATCTGCGATCCGGGGATCATGTCGGTCCTTGATCCTTGGCAAAACATCTAACTCACTTGTGAGGTACACATCGGGTGTGGGTCAAAAATAGGGTAACCCCGAAATGGGTTGCCCTGGCAAATGGAAACAAGGAATCAAACTTGCGGTCCGATTCCTGGTGGTTTAATTGTGTCCCATACCCACATTGGGTGTAAATTCAACCGACGATCCCTGGAAAGCTGCTAACGCTGGCTCAGGATCGTCGGCCACTCTTTCGTCCCGCACATTTTCAGGCAGTTAGGGATGGATGCCACCATGTACCTTCGCCGCGGTTAAAAGGAAAAGCATGTAAAAACTCGACCTCGTACTTGCTACACTTGCTCTATGTTCATGTTGGTGCTCTCTATGTTCAAGTTCAAACACAATGGTGATGGATTCCCGGCATGCCAATCGTTTAGGTCAAAGCAACTCCGCAAGGCCGGGAGTCGCAACATTTCCCCCTGTTGGTGTGTTTTTGTGGTTTTTTTACATCACCGTTTGGGCCAGATTAAAGTGAGCTTCCGTTTGGTGATGTTCAACGGGAAATCTAGGCAGCAAACAAAATGCTGGTGAATCAGCGTGGTGCGACATGTTCTCGAGGGCAGTAAGGATCACTCCAGCTTTCAATTGATCGAAGTCCAGCTTTGGTCCGCCCTGGGACTCATAGGTCTCTATGAAGACCGTCAAAAACTCCTGGCAAGAGCGGCAGTGCCAGCCCAAGTAAGAAAACTCAGATCCTTCGGACTCGCATTTGGGCAAAGCAGCCCCCACACAACTCTTTTGTTGCTTGCTTGCTGCCGCTCTTTGAACGGTGTCCCAACTGCGCTGGACATCATCATCAATACAGACATCAAGCATTGCGCAATGCGGTGTTTTCCCAGTTCATGAAATGTGTAGAATACAGAGTTGTTTTTTGCGAGCCATGGTCAATCTTCGTGGTGTCTCCCTTGGAATTTGTGTGATCAAACCCCATGTCCTCAAGATCTTCAGTTGATGGTGAGTATCCTCCATTTGCGTTTAGAGTCCCCAGGAAAAGACAAAAAAACTATGTCCAGTAGTGATGGACTTTTTGCAAAACCAACCGGTGAAAATATCCACCAATATTCTTAAGCGAATAGAAGGCGCGAGATCCCTCCAAACCCTGAAGACCCACCTGCACTTTAAACGTACGGGGCCCTGAGAATACGTCCATGCAATGACGCACATGTGGCCATGGGCTTTTCAAAATCCAAATCGGTTAGCCCCCAGTGAACATCCCAATCCAACCACTAAAATAGAATAAAATGGGTTGTGAATTCACCTACCCCAAAATGGAATCCCAGAACGGCTTTGACAACCACAGCCATCTCTGACTTGGATCCAACGCTTCTGCACGCCACGGTGTCCAAAATTCCCAGAGGATCTAAGGTAGCCGGGGGGCACCATCATGCAGGAGTGGGGATTCAAACATTTGTGACTCACAATAAGCCCGTGGCAATTGGCATCACTCAAAAAAACAGAACCTGATTCAAAATACATCACAAGATGTGAATGACACTGCTAGATTTAGTTGTTTGCACCTATTTGGAATTCATCCGCTGTCCAGCTTATGATGTGCCGAGGGTGGGGCTCAAACCAATTTCTACCGGCCTCAAGTCCGACTCGGGTTCCGATTCGAACCGGCCAACCCACAGCTATCAACATCTCTTTGGTTTCCCTTCAGGGGGGTTCGTTGAACAAGTGGGTATGTGTCAAAATAGGGGCACCCATTTTTTTTTCCGGAATGTTCCTTTGGTTTCCCTACCCAAGGCGGAAAGGCTGTAGCCTCATTCTTGTTCCGTTGCCCAGCAGCGACCAAACCAAAAACCTGGCATC